AAGGTTTGAGGGTCTCCTTCAGATTAAGGTTTGAGGGTCTCCTTCAGATTAAGGTTTGAGGGTCTCCTTCAGATTAAAGTTCATTAAATGAAGTTCCAGGAACTCTCGTTCGGTCTCGTTTCATAAAAGACGCTGCGCCTGCGTTCACACGAAAACAGCAGAACAGATTTTTAAACCTGGTTTGGAACAATTTCACAACAACCACTGATCATGTTGCAGAACCCAACAGGCGTGGCGTTAAAACGCTCCAATAATTACAACCTGTGGGATTATGGCTCATAATCTCTGCCTTTTAGTCTCCAACAATTCTTTCATGACAGGCACACGTAAAATACAGATGTTTCAGATTATTTCCAGTTTATTGAACGGGTCAGATGTTTTAACACTTTCTTATATTTAATGCAGTTCGCCTCATAAAGACCTCGTCCATCATCCTGTATCCGTTTTATTCTGAGAGATGTGATGACGACCTCGCCGTGCTCGTGAGGATGGAGGCAGATTCTCCTGCAGGAGTAAAACTCCAGATGTTTGTGCACAACCTGATCCAGGTCCAACATCTGCTGAGAACTTCCTGAAGGCCTGCTTGGTTTCATTTTATTTAACCTTTATTTATACAGGCAGTCTTGTTGAGTCACGAGGACTCGTGGTCAAGAGGGACCTGTTTGGGAGCAGGTGGTGGGGGTTGAGGGCCTTGCTCAAGGGCCCAGAGCGGGGCAGGTGAGGGTGGAGACAGGTGTGGGACTTTCACCTTCCCCACCCACATTTTGATGTTGGTCGGGGGAGTCGAACCTGTTGACTCACAGGCTTGTTTCGGTTCTGTGGTTTCAACAAATTAAAGGTGGACCGACGTGTCTTTAACGTGTTAAATTACACGTTAAAGACACGGAAAGGTGGGCCGACGGGTACTTTTGATGTTAACTGATTAAATGGCTCGGCCTCTGCTCTGAACGATGTTTTCAGGTTTTTAAAGAACTGATTTTTCAGGTCTGATTAACATTTTCCAGAAATCTTAAACAGGAACTTGGAACAAACTCAAATGATTCTGGTTTTTATTTAAGATTTTATTTAGTTTGTGTTTAAACTTTAGGGCTCATCAGCTTCGGTTACAAACGGTCCAAATGTAAAAGTTACAGGCTTGAGGGCCGCCGGTGATCATGATTCCCTGTCCATGAAGGCGATGGTGGCGGAGAAGGTTTTTGCTCGTGTCTACGTGTCGTTGACATTAACTGAAGCACCTTGTGAACCACAAGACACATTTTAATAAAAACATCAAAGTAAATACAGAATACACACCAAATCCAAGATGGCTGCCACACCAACACAAAAATGATGATAACAGTTCAACGGATGTTGAGCCAAAGCTGGACGTGGTAGTAGCTGAGAGTAGCTCTCATCTCACACACTGAGCATGACATCATGCAGCGACACGAGATGATGCTTTTATTTTGAAGGGTTGACTCGGTTCGTTCTTTGGTTGTTTGTAACAAACACACAAAGTGTTTATTTCTTTAATGGGATCATTAATAATTCTGAAGTTACACAATGTGGACAGAAACTACTCATTACTTCAGCTCCAACAAGAATGCCCAGAAGAACACGTTCCACCACAGCTAAAGCCTCGCTGACTTCCTGGCTCCAAGAAATCCTGGAAAAGCAGCTTATTTTTGTTTCGTCTTAAAGTTTCTAGATGTGGATTTGTTTATTTCAGAGCACTAGCAGCCGCAGTCTGAGGCCGGCTGACTCTTCAACCACAACACCGAGTTTCCTGCTTCCTCACCTTAAAACAGCTGAACGGCTGCAGCAGCCGAAGGTGAGTTTACAGTAAAGCAGAACGCCGTTCATATGACTGGATGAACGTAAACTGTTTAAACTGTTTCACCGGCTGGAGGAAACAAAGAAGTCTTTATATAAAAGGACATGAGTTATAATTATTCATAAAGTAATTTTATAACAACAAAAGTGCAGCAAAATGAATCGAGCTAAAGAAAAACTAAAACCTGATGAACAAATATTTAAATAATCTGTTTCCATTGATGTGAATCACTTTACGTCCCGTCTGTCCGTTCTTTAATCATTGTACTGTGGTCGTTATCATCATGCTGCTAACAGAACCACTCTGCTAACAGAACCACTCTGCTAACAGAACCACTCTGCTAACAGAACCACTCTGCTAACAGAACCACTCTGCTAACAGGACCACTCTGCTAACAGGACCACTCTGCTAACAGGACCACTCTGCTAACAGGACCACTCTGCTAACAGAACCACGCTGCTAACAGGACCACGCTGCTAACAGGACCACTCTGCAAACAGAACCACTCTGCAAACAGAATCACTCTGCTAACAGAACCACTCTGCTAACAGGACCACTCTGCTAACAGGACCACTCTGCTAACAGGACCACTCTGCTAACAGGACCACTCTGCAAACAGAACCACGCTGCTAACAGAACCACGCTGCTAACAGGACCACTCTGCAAACAGAACCACTCTGCAAACAGAACCATGCTGCTAACAGAACCACAATGCTAACAGAACCACGATGCTAACAGGACCACGATGCTAACAGGACCACGCTGCTAACAGGACCACGCTGCTAACAGGACCACGCTGATAACAGGACCACACTGCTAACAGGACCACACTGCTAACAGGGCCACGATGCAAGCAGAATAACATTGCTGGCAGTACCATGCTGCTGATGGAACCGCACTGCTAACAGGACCACGCTGCTAGTAGTACCATGCTGCTAACAGGACCACGTTGCTAACAGGACCATGCTGCTAGCAGAATCACATTGCTGGCAGTACCATGCTGCTGATGAGATCACACTGCTAACAGGACCATGCTGCTGTATGGGACACCACCCCTCTACACTGCTAGCAGTACCATGCTGTCGATGGGACTGCTAATAGGACCACAATACCAATAGGCCCACACTGCTTAAAGGACCACGTTGTTAATAGGGCCACGCTTCTAACAGGCCCATGCTGCTAACAGTAACGGTGTTTGTATAACAATTTTATTTTAATAGCTTTTTATTGTTGCATATTGTTGTCTGTACTTTAAGTGTTCTGTGTAAAACAGGTCTCTCTTGAAAATGAGTCCTTGTGACTCAGTGAGACTACCTGCATAAATAAAGGCCAAATTTTTATTATAGTATCATTTGGCTAATTAGCACAATTAGCATAAAGTCTTTTCTTGGATGACTAAAATAATTTACGTTAATATAAGGAGCGCTTGTGTTACTATAACATGAGCTAGCTTTAAAGCTAACAAAAGCATCAAATTAAGATTAGACAAATCACTACGTAGGATTAAAACAAACCAAGATAAAAGTTAAATACTAGAAAATACAAAAAGTATCAAACATTTCTAAAAATAAAAATAAAACAGCTGCATCTTTGAAATGAAATAAGATCGAGTCTTTAAAGTTGACGCGAGTAAAACTTTAAAAATTAGTCAAAAATCTTATTATTGACATGAGTTTTACTGAAATGAAGAAAAAATCCAAAGATGGAGTTTATTTTGCTTCATAAATGTAAAGTCCTGTTAAAAGAGGACGAGAGACTCAAGGATGAGTGTTGGTTTAAAAACAGCGAGGGACAGGACGTTTAACAGGAAACGGATAAATAAAGAACAAAACTACTCCGACACAAAGCATGACTCACATCTCAGCTCGATTTAATTTTGTGTTTTTAATTCACACAAAGAAGGCGTTAATGAGACTAAACTAATTTAACCAGAGACTAGAACTCACCTGAGGTCACGGCAGGAGCTTTAATCAGAGTAAAAACTAAAAATAAAAGTTTTATGACTGAAAACAAGCTGCTCCTTTGTCATTTAAGATCTTTTTCTTTAAAACAGTTGTAAAAAATTACGATTCAGCTCATTCGATAAATTCATTCTTTGAACCTGAGAAGTCGGGTGAAAGAAATATTTCTGTCTCCGTCGGGGTTTGAAATCACATTTATGAAACAGGCGATGTGCTGATCTGGATATTTTGTGACAACCCTAAAATAATTCATTATTTCTGTTTATCCAACTTCTTCCTGGGGCTCTACTGTAAAATGGGTACAACTTCCTGTCAGACAGGAAGTAGCAGTAAGCACTGGTTAACCACAGGAGACCACTAACATGCTAATGGTCTGGTGTGTTTGCGGGAGTTTCGGCTCGTGCTAGCCGAAGCTGGATAATTTAATCACATTTTTAATGATTATCTGCTTTGAAAGTGCTTAAGGAGTTTAAGCTCGTGTGTAATTTAGGGTTTAAAGTAGATTGGAGGTGATTCAGTCCGACATGTGTCTCTGTGAGGTTTCAGATGAAGCAGCTGTTCGGTGGGGGGGGGGGGGGGGGTACATGATATCACCAAACCACAAGTAGCAGCAGGTGTGGCCACAGCCGGAGTAAAGCTATTAAAAACACTTGAGGGGGGTCAGATTGAAGTTCAGGGCAACTTTCAGAGCTTTATCAAAGTTTCAAGGCTGCTTTTATTTTACGCACATTAGCATCTTAAAGAAGGTGAGGGGGGCCAGGAAGGACCGGTCCAAAGGATGAAGATGATGTTGGGAAGCAGGTGTTCTGGAGAAGTGGCGTTTGAAATGAAAGCAGCGTGGAGACTTTTTGTTGGAGAGAACAATAAAAGGCAGAAGAATCGAACAAGAGAGGCCAAACTAAAAGAATTTAAAGTCTTGAACGTCACTGTACACACCGGTTGGTATTTTCTGGATGTGTCGTCTTACAAATCCTTAAAGTTCACAACAGACAGACTTGAGTCAAAGACAAAGACACGTGACGTGTCAGGAGAACGACAGGAACTCGACTCCTGAATGTGCGACGCTCAGCTAACAGCTGCTGAAGCTGAGCTGCTGCTGCTGCTCATCACCCGACACCCGCCTGCTGCTCCGACACGCCTGGCGCCCGCTACAGGCTCCGCTCGGATCCAGTGTCACAGCAACAGACAGGAAACGGACACAAACAGCAGGCGCGCCGAAGGTTAGCGACGCCTGAAGCTAACGAAGAGCTCGGAGCCGGCAGGGCGGTGACCGTGACGGCACCAGGTGAGGTCCACGTAGTCAAGGTGAGAGCAGGTGGAGCGAAGCTCTAAGGAGTTCCTCTCAACGTCAGTAAAGACGCAGTGCGGCAATCATGTGACAAACTACAGGACCTTTTCAAAACAACCACTAACAAAAATGACTAAATGTCTGAAAAGCTAAAACATTTAGGAATCTCCTAAACTCATAAAACTTTCTTGTGGTCCATTTCCTGTCTTGGTCAGTGGACTTCCTGTCAGCTTTCACTAATCCAGCCAAGTACAGATGCAGTTTTTACTCATCTACAGATTCAACCACTGGTTGGTCAAGGGACGACAGGTGGGACTCCGACGTCTCGCGGCGCTCAGGGATACGAATAATGAATGTTTGTAGTTCTGACACGAGTGTTTTTCTGGACTAGAACTGAACGGTGACTGCAAGTAAACCTGAATGTTTTGGAGATGCTCAGATAAGCAGGAGATACGCTGTGGACGAGAACAGAGGGAGGTTTGGATCTTGTCCGAGGCTACGCAGACTCACGGATCCTGGACAGAGGAGGTGCAGGTGCTATGGAGGATTAGGATTTCCTCTTTTCAGCCAGAGTTAACATCCGTTCTCATCTGGAGCTAAACTCAAGCAGCAATTATATTTTTAAACGTTAAATGCTAAAAAAAAAATCTTTCCTTTGATTCTGTTCAGTTTGAAAGTTTTCTTTTGACGTGGTGAATTCAGTTTTACAAGAAGAACAGCGTTTAGTTTAACGTTTGTCTGTCGTTTAGGTGTTCCCAGACCCTTCATGGTCTTCCTTGTACGTCTCCAGAATCCATCACCACAGGAAGTAGCACCAGCCCAAGGAACGGTGACGTTCAACCAGTCCAGACACGGAAACCAACGAGCAGCGTCACAAACGAAACAAAGCATCAAATTAGACACTTTGTACAGGAAGCTGATATTTCAGGAACTGAATGAATCGTTTCAGTCCAGCATCAGTAAACTGCCTAGAAGAGATATAAAAACTGTTTTCCATCCAACAGGGAAGTTTATTAAGAGCAGCTCTTTTGAATATTGAAAATGAGAATAAATTGACAACAGCGCATTAATTCTCACGCTGAGAGAAGATATCTGGAGAACACGCTGAACAATAGAACTTCCCTCAGCTCCACACAGGACGTCAAGAGTTGTCAAGAAAAGCATGAAATCCTAAAGAAGCGTTCAGTGACAAGAAAACACTAAGAATAAAATGTTTTTTAAAAACTTAAAAGATTTTAATATCATTACTCCTCATCCAACTTTACAAAAGCCCATATCACAAACATGTGAAATTGTGTAACTTGTATCAGTTAAAGTATTCTGACGTTCAGTAGCAGTCTGAGGTACAACGTAGGTAAAGACTCCCCCCCCCCCCAAATGATGTTTCTACTTACATTCAATGGAGTTTTGTTGAAACGAGTTGTCAAAACACCAAAAATTGACCTCGACACAACTGAACTGCTGTTGTAAGAGCTTCCACCTTTGATTTTTTTTTTAACCACATCAAGTTTCTCGTCTTAACCACGTGGAAACGCTCATTTCTGTCCTTTTGAACATCATCCTTGTAAACACGGCACCGTTTCTAGAAGAGTTTTTCCTAAAAACACTGAAAATGCAGAGGAACAACCCAAAACGTTGCAGTATCTACACCTGGCCCGTGTGTGGCGCTGCAGCACAGAAATACAGCAAAAACAGGAAACAAGACGTGGAGCATGCTCAAAACATCGTATGCATGCATGCGAAGACAGAAGATTTCAGGCACAGAGTCTAGACGAAGGTTTTATCGTAGTTGGGTACGTGGCAACGTCAACACAAACTTGTCTTTTGTCTCGTTAATGACAAACATCTGAGCCGCTCAGGGTCAGAGTTCAGGCAGGAGGTGGGGCCACGACACAGGTTTCAAAAGGCTTCGGCTGGACGCACAAAGATGCAACAGTAGCCATTTTGATTTTCTCAATCTGGAACTGGTTTCCCATTTAAAAAAAAAAAAAAAAACAGTCAAGGGGGTTAAAGCATCATTTTTGAAAGGACGCGAGGCTAAAACACTAAAAATAGTTCTGCAAAGTCACAGAACCCGCTCCGGTGCTGACGGGACCTGCAGGTGGTTTCTCACAGAGCTGCTCCGTTGGAAAACAGAAGAAAAAGAAATACTTCAAAGTTGCAGGAAAATTGTAAGAAAATACGTTAAAATAAACCCAACATTTTTCAGTCAGGTCATCTGGACAGTTTTTTTTTTTTTTTTTCAGATGACCAGACAGAAAAATGCTGGATTGTATACCTGGATTATTGAGCATGGACTTTGTTGTTTTCAACCAGTTTGACAAGACTGTCAACAAGGAAGAGGGCCAGCAATGGAGGAGGGGGCGTACCAAAGAGACCATCTAATCACAAGCAGAACTGGTTTGTTCCACTTTGGAGTGAGCTGTTGGGGGAAGAATCAGTTTTGTTGTGTGTTTCCTTGACTGATGAAGCCTTCTGGATCGAAGGTGAAACGTTTCAACACACAAAAAAAGAAACTGTCCAGATGACCTGAGTGAAAAATGTTGGATTGTATACCTGGATTATTGAGCATGGACTTTGACATGGACAGGACATCATCTAGAAGGCTTCATCAGTCAAGGAAACACAACACAAAACTGATTCTTCCCCCAAACAGCTTACTCCAAAGTGGAACAAACCAGTTATGTTGGTGCTAAGATGGTGTCTTTGGCACGCCCCCTCCTCTGCTGCCGGCCCTCTTCCTTGTCGACAGTCATGTGAAACTGGTTTAAACCCAAAAAAGCCCATGCTCAATAATCCAGGTATACAATCCAACAATTTTTATTGAGCGTGGTCTTGATTTTGAGGAACCGCTCATGTTCCTGCGCTGCACTCCTGGCTGCGCACATTTTTCTGTTGCCCACCTCGGCAGCTGGTCCCATGTTCGTGAGCACACGTTAAAAATGAATCAGTTTTATAATTATTATTATTCATGAGCTGAGTGGACATTGGCCTCAGCCGTTTACTGTCCTGGGCTCTGGAGACGGTTCAGAGACGTCTTCGACGACTTTGTGACTATTTTGAGACAAAAGTTGCAGCAGAAATCTGACGAACGTGCTTCAAACAGATTTGCGCCTCTTTGAGACTCGTGAGGACGTTGGGAGACATTTAGGAGACTCTAAAGAACCCCATGAAGATGCAGCCCAGTGAGAAACCACCTGCAGGGCTTGATGCTGTTGAAATGAACTTACTGGACAGTTTACAGCTCATCGGTGTAGGAGACGGTGTCTTTTAGTATCCAGCGTGTCTCACTGTCGCAGGACTTCATGTACAGTCTTCAGATCTGACGTATTAATTTCCTCTTTAAGACCTGAAGCCAGTTTTTCGTGCGCTGAACCTCCACACATGCAAAGTCACACTTAAACCTCTAAACAAGAGATAAGATCTTCCTCCTATCACAACATTATGACACCATGACAGCCTCTGAGCCAACGATAGAAGTTATAAAGCAGTTATGTTGTTGTTTTTACCACCAACACCAGTTTAACAGCCAGATAAAACCATTAGGGGGCACCGACCTCGTTTCTCCTCCAGGTCCTGAAGGAACTGTCTGTAAGCAGCCGAGCTCATCCCTCCTCCACCCCCACAAAGTTACAACACTGGAAGGTTGTTAGAGGAGGACACAGAAAGCTGTTAGAAGTGAAAAGGAAGCAGCGTTATGTGGGAACGAGTGAGGAAGAGGAGGAGGAGGAGTTGAGCTGTGCGGCCTTCAGGGTCCGACCGTCAAAGAAGATCCATCGTTAATCGCACAGATAATCCTTCATCTCTCCTCGCAGCCTTCTTCTTCCTCTGCTGCCGTGTTCGGGCTGAGCGGAGGGCGTTCGTGCGCCGGTGGGTACGACGGCTGCGAACGTGTCGGAGCGTTAGCAGCTTTAAGCCGGATAGAGCAACTGGACTTTGACCACAAGGCAGGTGATGTCACCGCCACAGCCACAAACATGTGGTTCACTGAGCGCACGTGTGTGTGTGTGGGATGGAAACCAGGGGAAAGAAGGCGTGTTTTTATGACTCCCTGCTCAGCTGTGTGAGGGTTTTAAAGGCAGCGTGGTGTTTGAGTGACATTCAGCCGTTCAGGTGGTCTCCGGCCTCTCAGACACATTTAACACAACTTGAAGATTTATCGACCGTCACCACGGAACACAATCATGTAACTGAGTTTTTTATTCGTCTGCCTGTTAGCAAAATATCTCATGATAAAGTCTTAATGGGATGTACGTCTTCAACTGATCGATTCAACATGGCTGCCACAGCTGGGCAGGCTCAGAAAAATGGCTCAACTTGGTCAGATTTCGAGCCAACGTTTGGTGTGGTAGTAGCCGAGAGTCATCCTCAACACATACTTGGAGCGCTGACGGATTGAGCCTTGCATTTGCTTAAAGTCTCATCATCTAGACGTTTGGGTGGAAACATAAAAGAGCTGCTAAAAAAAATGGAAAGATGGAGTAAAACATCTGTCAAGAATAAACATCTGGGACCAAACAGGGCGGAGCCATCAGGTTCAGACACATTACGTTTAGCATTTCACCCAAACCCGTCTTTATTTCTGCACTTTACTTCACAGATCAGAGAATACGAACCACCACATGGAAACTGTCAGACTCTCGTGGACGCCACCATCCATGTTGTTTTCGTTGGTAAACAAACATGTGGTGCTTGGCAAACCTGTTTCCTACTTTATGATATATTTTGACTCGTCTTCAGAACATTGCAACCGTCCATCCATAATCATTACCTGCTTCTTCCTTTGTGGGTCACTGGTGTCCATGTCCACCAGTCACTGTGTGAGAGGAGAGGATCCCTGGGATGAGACTGGTAACTCTAAACTGTCTCTAGGTGAGTGAGGGAGTGAATGGTTGTCTCGTTTGTCTCTGTGTCCCTGTGATGGACTGGAGACCTGTCCAGAGTGTCCCCCGCCTCTCGCACAGTGATGGCTGGATCTGGACACCAGTGACCCCCGCGACCCGGAAAGAAAGAAGGGGGTAAAGATGATGGACGGATCTCAAAAGACAGATCCATCTCCAAGGTTTCATAGAAATCTGCATCTAAAACTGATCACAAGTCTGAAAATCAAACTTTATATTTACTCACAACTTAAAGTTGGTTCATAATCAACTAATTTTATAAGTTATTCCACATGTTCATATGTTTGTGTATATAAAAAAAAATTCATTTAAGATGTGAAATATGGTACAAAACTGCATTTTTATGTAAAAAATACCTAATATTTCTACAAACAGCTGGACGAACACATCTGTGCACTCCGTTTCATCCCGTTCATGAGAAGCACGAGGCTGGTGCAAGATGTAATTATCAACCACAATCAATTTATCGATCATTTATGATATTTACTCTGGAACGCTCCCTCCGTCACCCCATCAGCTCCGCCTCCTCCTCCTCCGTGAAAAGGTAAACATCACACAACCAATATTTATCCAGACACACGCAGCGAGGACGAGGCACAAAGATTAGCGTCGTCGCAACTGACGAGTCCAAAACTGTGCTGAGAACGGCGGCGCCAACGCTCAAATTCACTCTGACTGAAACAGGAAAAAGCTTTTTTCTCACAGTTTGCCACAATGTTTAAGTCTCCTGCTGAGAGATCCCTTCAGCTACAGCGAGCTGCAAATCACGAAGCAAAGCTGAAGATGTGATGTCAGAACAGGACGAGCCGTTCAACATAAAATCAAGCTTTCAGCTCTTTCTACATCTGGTTTACATCTGTACTCGTTGAGGGCAAGAATGTCATTCATTTGGGCTGTTAAATTATTTATGAGGCAGAGCAGGTCCACGATGAGCGCATGTAAA